GAAGTGGCTGATTTTAGATACCTAGGAAGTCAGATAAGTGAGGATGGAAGGAGTAGTAGGGATATAAAGCAGAGGATAGCGCAGGGTCGTGTCGCCTTTAATAAAAAGAAGTCACTTCTATGCTCGCGAACGGTTAATTTAGAAATTCGAAAAAGATTGTTAAAGGTGTATGTTTGGAGCGCAGTGCTGTACAGGTGAAAAGAAACTGAAAAATAAAGGTTAGAAGCTTTTGAAATCTGGTATTACAGGCGAATGATGAGGATACCGTGGATAGAAGAAGAAATAAAGGGGTATTACAATGAATAGGAGAATAGAGGACCCTATGGAAGTCAATAAGAAATAGGCGAGATAGGTTGGTAGGACACCTTCTGAGGCATGAAGGTCTAGTCAAAGACATATTAGTTTTAGGGAATTGCGAAGATTAGTTCAAGATAGGAAAGAGTGGAGGTGTGTGTCCAACATTTTTAGGACTGACGACCATATGATGATGTTGATACCATTGATTTAGGGTGGAACTTCGGTTGTAACCCGTGTTTATTTTATTATTAAGTAGAAGATTAGGAGGAATGCTTTTGGATCATTTCAGTCTCGCTCTGCGTCTAGTTTTCTTGAAAATACATTTGTTTTTCAAAGCAGTAGAGGATTTTGGTGTCATCAACTTTTACGGCTCTTAAGCGATACATTTGTGGATGAATGTTAACAACCTCAAGTTAGTACGTGATGCTACTTTTTTGAGACAAATGACGAATTCGTGACAGATATAGACAGACTTCGAGAGGTGCTGGTACGTGACAGTGAAACCTCTGGACAAAAGACTTGAAATTTCTTTTGAGGAATGCTAAGCAGGGTAGTAACATTATAAAAAAAGGAATTTCAGAACTTATTTTAACCTACTTCTATTGTATTTTTTCGGCAATACATCACTAACTAGAAGTACTGTATTAAAACTCAACTCAGTGTTTTATTTGTCGCTTACAATTATTTCTATTATAGTGGTAGATTTGATTGGAAAGTTCCAAATAACTAGCAAAGAAAAACAATTGTAGAACGCCAATATGCCGTATATTTTGCTTCACTTGTTTAAGCTTAGTTTACTTGATTGTATTATCTTTTCGCCAATCAGCAGCTGACTTGCTTGTTTGGAGAGCGATGTCAATAGAATGAAAGCAAATGTTTTTCTAGATATTTCCAACGAATTTTCCTGTTTAATTTATTTATCCACCATAAACGGAAATGGACGCAGCACTTCGTAAACTTTTGCCTTTCTCTTTCTCAGTCCTTCTGTCTACTTTAGTTTTATTTCCGAATAAATTGTAAGTAAACATCCGTTCCCGTCTAACGAAGAGGAAAAGGGAGAAGCATTATATATGGGCGTGTAATATTTTTGTGGATCTTTTTAATTTTGATTTTTAGTTGAATCAATGACTTTTACTAATTTCTTGTACTTTGGTTTATCAATTTAGAACAGTTCAATATATAGCAGGTACTCCTATTTTATTAGAATATATTGCTATTCATACGCGGAGAAGAGTGAAGGGTTGCCAACATTGCGCTAGTATAACCGGAAGTCTCTAGAAACTACAACGGAATCTTTCTAGAACAAATCATCCAACACCGTTCGAGTTATGAGGTAATCGGAGCCGAATTAGAAATGAGGGAGTGATTAGTTGTAGTGATTTTAAATAAAAAAAAATTAGCAAGCGAGTGGTGTTTGATTGTGGGACAATATTTATTTGCTTTTTATTTTTATTATTGAAATACATATACTAAGCTGTTTTTGCAATCCGTTCGCTTCTTTTTGGTGAGATAAACTTTTCGTCCAAACAACATCCATCCTGTCGTCTGGTCTTCAAGATTTTCTTTCTCCCTTTTCGTAAACTGATGATTGTGGCAAAACAAATATCTACATATCTTTTGTGGATTGTTCAGCGTTCGTCCTTATGCAACGGGAAAACAAATCGAAAGCAGTGGTCCAAACCCTTTCTCTCCCCGTCTCTTTCTCTCTTACTTTCACTACAAGTCAGCAAAGTTCGACTCGAGAAAAAATATCGCCCAGGAAATCGGAAAACTTTTCACATAAAGTTAAAATAAAAAATAGGTCGGTCGTGTCACTTTTACGGAGATAAAAATTGCGCATCCCGAGAAGGACCACTCATCTTTTTCCTTTCCATGTTAGGGACTGCCGTACTCGACAAAAAAAAATAAATACAATATTTATAAGGCAGGATATTCAAATGACCTTTAGGTAGCTGTGTATCAATGGCATGCCAAAATCATTTAAATACAAGGACTGTTGGTATATAGGCATCTAAAGTAGAGCTGCAGGATTGCTTGTGTGTTTCTGCGAAATAATTACTAAAGTTAATCATTATTATTGACTTGTTAGCGCAAAATCACCTTTTACTAATCATCTTGTGTTTAGTAGTAGACCAAATGGATCATCCGGGCCATTTGGTCGACCACGTTACAGTATATATGTACTATTTTGCTGGACCGCACAAGGTAGTTCTGTGCACTACTTCGTAAAATTGCACCGCTACGTTTTGCACCCATTTGCGAACATAAAGACACGATTTCTGACGTTTTAGAAAATACCACAAGTGGCGCGGTAAACGCCATCTCAACGTTGAGGTTAGCTACGCCGGGATTCGTTTCAGCAGTAGTAGATATCCATATATTTAAATGGACCTTGTTGGAGCATACGTTATCCTAAAATGTAGCATCGTACTACAGGTGGCGTTTACCGCGCCATTTGTGGTATTTTCTGAAACGCTCTGTTAAGACAGCAGGTAAAAGTTGGTCTGTGTTCTGTCGGAGCTGCCAGCGACGCGCTGATGAGATCCAAAAAGATCGAAATCGCGATCCGCGTCTGGCAGTTTCGACAGAATACAGACCACTTCGAATTATTTTATACGATTTCTGACGGTTAATGAGCTGCATTTAGTACAGCTATTTTTTCCGAAATACAAAATAGTTTTTCATAATATTAAAAATTGGTTTAAATTTATCAAAACTTATACCTTCCGCATGACTGTTTCTATGGAGAGTTTTAGAAAAAATATGTGACTAAATACTCCCTCTATTTCGTCATAAGTCTCTGTTAATTTAGCAAAAATTGTATGAATGAACTTCCTGTCTATCTACAAATAAATATTTGTCCCCACCAAATTGTACCATTATCATCAATTTGCTTTACAATTGACGAATAATGTAAACAACAACAATATATTGTTGCATAATTATTTCAAAGAATTATCGACAAATACTGAAGTCAGGCAGCAGTATTACTTTAGCGTTCTTCTACGTATTACATTATGAATTAGTTGACGCACCAACGTACGACATCAGTCAGATAAATAAGTAGATTTTTATATAATATTCTGCTCCCTGACCCTGTTAATCATAAGTATGGTTATCAGAAGTGTTGCAAACATTTTATTGTCGAATTCACTCAGAACAGTCTCGTACAACTTCAAGGTATATATTACAATGGGTAGATATAGATGCGATCATGTATGACGAAGTGAATAATAATTATGAAGTATGATGAACTGTTTGACGGTGGTGTATTGTTAATGTGACCTATTGTTTGTTTTAAGCAAGCGGTTGAAGCTCTGAGTGGGTTGCAGAGTAACGCCGAATATATCAGGAATCATGTTAAAACCAATGCCGATGATAACAGTGTAAAGTCGATTACCATTAAATATTTAGAGAGGTAATTGATTAGTCTTGAAGTCCATTTGAACGACTTCCAAAGATGCAGTTTCTGTTTTTGGTAAATATTACGTGTCCTTTTGTAAAAACTAGGTCAGGCCTGACGTTGAACGATTTGGACGAGTTGTCTGTGATACATGTCACTGGCACAAAGGGCAAAGGGACCACTTGCGCCCTTTGCGAGTGTATTTTGAGACGTTCCGGTTACAGAACGGGCTTCTTCACATCTCCGCATTTGATTGAAGTGTACGAGAGGATACGGATTGACGGCGAACCGTTACAGAGAGAAACCTTTGCAAAATACTTTTGGAAGGTGTTTGACGAACTGGAGCACAAAAAGGTAAAAATCCTTTCGCTCCTGGTCCTTCTTATTTTTGAGATTCTCATTGAATAAATATTTCAGGAACATGAATACGATATGCCACACTTTTTTAGTTTTATGACTATATTAGCTTTCCATGTTTTTCTTAATGAAAAAGTAGACGTGACGATATTAGAAGTTGGAATCGGTGGAGAAGTTGATTGCACAAATATTATCAGGTGATATACAGCGTGATCATTACATAAAACATATTAAATTTTCTCTTTATTAATTTAAGAAATACGTGTGTAGCAGGAATAACGTCATTAGGGATAGATCATACTAATTTGTTAGGTAATTCTTTGAAGACGATAGCGTGGCATAAGGCAGGAATTTTCAAAAAAGGTTGTAAAGCTTTCACGGTGCCTCAGGACAAACGTTCCATGGCTGTTTTAAATAGAAGAAGTCTTGAAAAAGGAGTAAACATCAACAAACTGTTAATTGATATATTAAACCATTTGGTGGTATTTTAGTGTCAACTAAATATCGTTAAACCTTTAGAAGAGAAGATCTCGAAAGTAATAAATACCAATATGCCTTTGGAAATATTTAGATTAAATGCTGGACTCGCCATTTCGTTAGCAAACGCTTGGGTGACGTTTAATGGTAAAGTTGATGGTCACGCCGCTAACTCATAGAAAATGTTTCTTTTACTAAATAAGATTTTTTTTAAGGATTTCCTGCTTTGCAAAACTATGTTGTCGAAAAGGCTATAGAAAAGTTTAACTGGCAAGGACGATATGAAATAGTATCGATAAATAATTCTAGGTGAGCTGATGGAATAATAATAATTCATCATCATCATCTTCATAAGGTCATCAGTCCTAAGACTGGTTGGACATGTATCTCCACTCTTCCCTATCCTGAGCTAATCTTCGCATTTCCCTAAAACTAGAACAGCCCATATCCTTAACTATTTGCGAACAGTAATCTAATCTACGTCTACCTCTACCTCTCCTAACTTCCGTTTCTGCTTTTAATATGTCTCTGACTAGACCTTCATGCCTGAGAAGGTGTCCTACTAACCTATCTCGCCTATTTCTTTAACTTGACTTCCATAGAGTCCTCTGTTCTCCTATTCTTTCTAATACCTTCATTTCTAACTTTTTCTACCCGCGTTATCCTCATTATTCGCCTATAACACCACAATTCGAAGGCTTCTAACCTTTTCTTTTCCGCCGCGCCCACTGTCCATGTTTCGCACCCGTAAACCTCCGTGCTCCAAACATACACCTTTAACAATCTTTTTAGAATTTTTAAATTAACCTTTCGCGATCATAGAAGTGACTTCTATTTTCTTTCTTCTTTTCCCTTTGGTGTTAATTCACATGTAATTGACCGACTATGTAACTGTTGATGTGGTAGATCTGATGTAAACTTATCTGCACCAAGTGGTTAGTAAGAATTAATTATGAACTAACGAACACAGGAAAAGGACATCGTTACAGTTTAGTGTTCTGTGTTGAATAATTTTATGTTATACACAAACCGCCACTGTGCATTACGAAAATAAACTCTCTCGAGTTCATAAAGGCGTTGATTGTCAATTGAATTTGCTGGTATTTTTGCGTTTGTTCTTTGTTGAACTGGACTGCAGCCTGTGACAATGTTTACGTTTTAGATTTTCATAAATCATATGTCGCAGCATGAAAAGGCAATAAAAATGCAAATTCATTTCGATCTAATTCGTGTTTGAATTACGAAACATTTGCATCCAATTCTATTAGCCATACGAACGCGATCGGTAGAACTATTGCTAGGAATATTTGATTTTTTTTTTTAAATCAAATGCGAATATATCGTATATGAATGGAGAACACAATTTATTAGTAGATATATGTACTAGTTCAGTTTGTAGGTTTTTTATGGACGGAGCGCACACGTCGGAGAGTCTTGAAATATGCAAGGATTGGTATTTGAAAAACACAAAATTTTCATCCAACATAAAAGTTCTTGTGTTCAACGCAACTGGAGACAGGAACGTGCGCCAGTTTTTGAAAATACTCCACAAATGTCACTTCCAGCAAGTCTATCTAACCCCGAACGTGGCAGGTAAAAAAAAAGGTTTAAAAAATTTTCCCTTGTTTGCATCTATTTCGTTTGAAACTGTTCGGATACAAACAAAAAAGTTGGTTGACTTGTTAATGGCGAAACGTTTAAAGCGGCATTTGAATAAGTAATGGGTCGTTTTAGTTTCGAAACAAATGGATGACGTGAAAGAACCTATTCAACGCTGTCAAGTTTTCAAGAGAGCTTGGGAGGAATTGGAACGGAAAACTGGCTTTAAAGCTGACTCTATTTCGACATGTGTTGACGTAAGCGGAGCTTTTCGAAAAATATTAGACAATAACGTCAAAAAATGCGATGTTCTAGTCACAGGTTCTATTCACTTGGTAGGAGCTGCATTAAATGTAATAAACATTCGTAAAACAAACGACTCTAGTTAATTTCATGTAGAATTTTTATTTTTTACAATAGTTTAACTGTCAATAGTTTTATATGATACCGAACTGTACTTTAGCATTCCAAGTAATTATTTAATAAATATTACCTGTACAGAGATAGTTTTACTTTTGTGAAAACCCAACGCTAGAACTGAGGGTCAAAGTGAAGAAAAGATAGTAGGTGAAATTTTTAAAGTAAAATATCAATTCTTATTTAGTAAACTGAGTTTCCAAGGCGAGATGTCTTCTTTACATAACTTCTAGCCATTTATGATACGATAGTTTGCTGTTTATATCTACAGGTGGCGTTAGCAACACTGTGTGTGGTTATTTGTATGACCTTAAAGTTAATAGCAATCGAATTTGGTTAGGTTAGGTACCTAGCAGCATGGGTCAAAGGTTGAGACAATTGGTTAGCATTCAGAACGACACCAGTTCGATTCTGAGTCCGTCTACCCTGGTCCAAGACTTTCTAGATCCCTTAGCCAAACGTTGGGGCAGTAATATTTCACAGATAATCTTTTACACTCTTCTGTCTTTACTTTGTACGTCTCATCTTTCTCACCCCAACCACCAACCATCCATTTCCACTATTCCCAAAAAGGAGGCTGAACAGAGACTTCTGCCCTGTCCTGCGATCTAGTCCGGAGGGACTGTCCGCCCACTAGCATTAGTAGATGGTGGAAACGAAACAATCAAAAGTTAAAAGTTGGGTTAGGTTAGGTTACGTTTGAACATTTTATTTCACAATAAATTTCGGTTAAAAAATTGAAAGAGCAAAAAGCAAAGAGGTAATTTATCGAGTGTATGTAAATTTTTCGGAATGGAGAAAGCTCGTCCCTTGTCGGCTTTATTTCGGTCGCCGTGGAGGATATGAAAACGTTGCGCCGTGGGATAGTTTTCGTCTTATTTCACAAAATGTCATTATTCTTCGTTTGCCTCCTGAGCGCCGGGTACTTTTGTATTCCGGATGAACGAGGCATCCCTCTAAATCCAGACAAAAGCAGTCATAAATTTTGTTGGTTTAAGAATTCAGGCGTGTAGCACGCTTCGATTTGTAGGTGGCGTCAGTGAACCGCTTTTGTTACCTCTTCAAACAGAACCGTTGAAATAAACGGACGATTTGTGCACCTCTGCACCATTCCATCGAAAAAGGACAAAAACAAAATTGTCTTTCTAAGAAAATCAAGACCAGTAATCAAGCTTTTACTAGACTGAGCCTATTATATATGAGATTATCCAAATTTTACTTTAATTTAGCTGTGGGCTGAAAAAATCGAAACTAAAACAAGGGAAGGTTAGGTTGAAATACTTCAGTTGGCGGCAAATGTCAGTAGATGGAGACATAGTATCTAAATATGCTAACCTATGTGACGATTACGTATATATGAATGGTGATGATTCCATGACCCAGAGATAGAAGAAATACTTTTGGTTGTTTCATTCCCACCAACCAGTAATGTTCCTGGGCGGGTAGTCCCTCCGGAGTCGTGGGAATGGGTGGGTGGTGTTTCGGGTGAGAAAGATGAGACGGACGAAATTAAGACAGAAGAGAACGAAAGATTATCTGTGGAATATTACTGCCCCAGCATTTGCCTAAGTGATTCAAGGAAACCACAGAAAAACTTGGACCAAATCAGACGGACCCGGAAGCGAATCGGCGTCCTCCCAAATGCTAAACTTATAGACCATGCCGTTTGGTCCCCGAGATAGCTTACCTATGTCGAAGTATAACAAATCCGAATGGGTGGGGAACTCGTTCCATAAACATCACACCAGTTATGGAGATTGATACTACGGGAGGCTTGTGAGTTCCAGACGGGAAATTGTTAATATTTAAAAACTGCTCAACTTATTTCGGAAACATCACTATTTATTTATTTTAATCAATCAAAACGTCAAATAATGTCTTCTGTTTGATAAGAGTACACTTAATTTCACATGAGACAGTGATCTGCACACTTCAGTCATTTATTATTGGTCGATCAGAAAATGGAAACTGTGCTAAAAGAATAAAGCAGAAAGGGAGATTCACCCTAAAATTAATCTCGCATTGATAATGCATACATTTCCAAAGGGGGAGGAGGGGTACATGACTGGAAACTAAGTAGATCGGCTTTTGGAGCAGTTGAGACAGTGACATTCTAACGTTGATAAGTGAAGTTTAGAGTGTTCCTGTCACAGGCTTCCAATTTGAACGATAAACAAGATCAAGAACCAAGAAGCAGTGGTAAAGCAACGTCAAAATGAGATCTGTTGTTTGCATGTCCACTTGTCGTTGTTACTGGTCGACGCTTCGGACCCTTCAGTTCCTCTCGACTTTAACTAGATGCGAAGAGGACGACGACCAAACCGAACTCGTTCGTTAGTTCTTTCCGGGTGTGAAGCCGTGAGTCCGAGGTATATGGGCGAGAACGTGTGAATCCCCGGAGCCATCATTTCCAATTTTATCGCCTCCCGCCCGTTCCCTCTTTGTTCACTTCGTGTAAGAGGCCCGTAATAAACATACAATCCCATTAAACGAACAGATACAGTGGCCACTAAACGAGCCAAAGGGCGTAACAATGCGGTCGTTTAAAGTGTTGGAAGTCGTGTTTGGCCCACTAATACGTGACGGGAGAACTGAAATGCGCCTCTGGGAAACGAAAATCGAAGCCCGCAAAAGACAGCGCGCAAGAGAAAACTCCCCGTCTCCTTCCAGAAAGATCGGACGATGGAACGTTTGTCATTTTTATTTTCCTTTCCTTCTCAAAACTCTCAACGCAACTTTACCACCAAAGCATTACATGTACGTCCACGAAAAATGATTTATAACGTCTAACCACATTTAATACTTCATACAAAAAAGTCAGTTTTATTATTCGGCATTCACTTCGGAACATTGATTTTATAAATACGTTTCAGATAAATGCTAGAATAGGTCGCTTATTTCTAAATGTATCTGCAAATGCTCCTTTCTAACTGTTAACATGTGACGCTACTGAGTGAAGTGGAAGTGACTACAATTGAGTCGAACGGTAGCCACATTAAGACGCATTTAAGCATTTCACAAGAACATTTATAATTCTTTTCGTAGCAACGCAATAATGAAGAAAGAAGCATCGAACTGAATAAATTTTCTTTGCATTCGAAATGCTACGTGCTCAAAGACAAATTGAAAGCAAATTGAGAAGCAAAACAGGGTACAGGTAGGTACTCGCTTAGGTACACTGCGAATTTCTCTTTAAAAATAGTGAAAAGGGTTGTGTCCTATCTTCCGGTTTTTCCACCATTTGGAAAACCTTTTCTGAGTTTTTGTCTGAAACGTCTTTTGAATGAGCGCCATTGGAGAATAAATGAACCTTTATAATGAAATCCTTTAGAGTTTTGCGTTTCGAAAGCTTTCATTTCGACGGACGTTCAAAGCATCATCTCCTCTTCAAACGTAATCTACTTTAATCAAGATTAAATATAGTTCTGTTTTTCTCGCTAAGCTCAATTTGTTTGTGGATAGTGAGCCTTAAGCGATGAACGTCCAGCGTATGCAGAAATTTCAAAAAGGTCGGATATAAATTTATTTTCAATGTAGCAATTATAAAGTATTACGAATGAATATTTGAATTAATTGACAGAAGCAGATCGAAAGCGATTTTAATTAAATTTCTATCGGTTAATTTAAAACGAAAGAACAAAATGTTTCAACTCAATGAATTATGAAATTAACAAAAATTCATTCAATTGCTTTAACCCATCAACTGCGAGGAGCTTTAACTACATAGCGCTGGTGAAGGAGAATGCCCACCAGATGGCGATATATTGCCTTTATTTCGATATTACTTAAACTTGCTTTTCAAGGGCATCTTCGGTTGGGTTAGTAATTTCTCGAGGTTGCTTGTGGCGCGGTAATGAGATTCAAATCGCGATCCGGGTCTAAAAGTTCTTCTCTGTATGTATGTATTTAAAAAATTGATTGTTAAATAAAAATGTCAATGCCAAAGAGAAAAATATTTACATACACTACACGCTTATCGAATCCGTGAAAACCACTAAAGCCTTAAAGATGCGGCATAACAACGGCCAATTTTCTTTCATTGTTATCGACTCTCTTTTGGCAGTCGAATGATCCCATTGCATCCAGGACACGTATACATCGGAGCCATTTAATTTCCCCTTTCTGAGATAACGCGACGGAACGTTTCACGGAAAATCCGAATAGAATGATGCCCAAGACCACATTCGAAGCTCTCGTGCTGTAGTCACACACTAGTCACAAGACAGAAGAAATCTACTGCTCAAGTACGCCAAATCCAGCGGAGGTGTAAAAATGTTCAAAATCAATCGCTTGCTTAGAAAGAATGAACAGGGTTCTTCTGTGAAATAAACTCACTCACAACATAATATTATCTGTTGCTTTTACATTCATTCCTTTTTGAGCTAAAGATGTAATGGTGGTGTGAGGTGTTCTAATAGTTTTCAGAAAATGCGAAAATGGACTCAGGACAGGAAGGATGGAATGAAAGAGGGTGTTGTGGCAGACTGTATGTCACTGTAGCATTATTTTGTCCCACACTCTTCTTTATAGACGACGGGGTATTACGATTTTTTCTGTCACGAAAAAGCGTTACGGCCACGTGCAGGGGGTAGACGGTACATCGTGTGGTGAAGAGCGGTAGAGAAAGGCTGGCAGCGGCGGAGAGAGGGCAACGGCTGTATTAGATGGATATAATGCGCAGCTGCTCGGAGAGCGGGGAGTCCGCTAGAGTCCCGGCGGCGTGTGCTGTGCTCAGCTGTTGTTTTCTTACCTCTGCTCTCCACGTGGCTGGGCATCATTGCCTCTATTAGCGGTCTGTATAAAAACCAAATCATAATTTGCAGTAAACCTGTGAAAACGAAATGTGTGCTGGGACACAATCTGCCCTTCAAACGAAGTAAAAATTTTGTTGCATACGTTTTTTCCACTTGTCCGTTGCCATGCGTTTGTCCACTTGTCCGTTGAAGTTTCGCTTCTACTATGTGTCCCAATACACATTTTTTTTTCTGTTTATTATGTGTGGTGTTTGCCTGAATCTCGAATGCTTATTTATTTACTTTGCGTTAAATTCGGCGTTTAAAATGGGAACTTGTTCGTCGATTTCCT